TCTCTCTCTCTCTCTCTCTCTCTCTCTCTGTCTCTCTCTCTGTGTGTGTGTGTGTGTGTGTGTGTGTCAGTGGTGGGTTTCAAAAAAATTTCAAACCTACTCTGTGGGTGTGGCCTGCTTTCCGGGGCCACTGGTAGAACCTCTTCTAACCGGTTCGGTAGATTTGACGAACCGGTTCTACCGAACTGGTGCGAACTGGTAGGAACCCACCTCTGCACAGACAAGTGCTGGGAAGACAGGCAGGCACTACAAAATACAACATATCCACACTCCCCGGGGATCATTTGAAAGCTTCCTTGCTAAACAACAGAAATTCTGGGGTCATAAGTGGAGGATTACTGTATACATAACCTGGCACAAAGTCCATGAGCTACATCAAACATACAACTAAATCAACAGCTACCTTTGGAACATTTGAGTCTCCTAAGCATTTCCATGGAAACAGGATTTTTCCCTAGGAAGGAGACAGTAAACATTTTAAAGGAGAATTTTATAGTGCTACTTTGAAGCTCACAAGAATGACAAGCCAATTTGCCAGCATGACAAAAATAGACTGATGAAAGGTGCAAAATTATCTAAACCACCAGAGCCCTCTGATTAACTCTTGGGCTTACCAAAGTAACTACCATAGTTTATATTAAAAGTTATTCTTTTTTCAAAGTCTGCTCTGACTTGAAATCACCCTCCATGAGGAGGACAAGGTCATTACATACACTTCCTCAACCACTTTGAGCAAAGAACATTAATCATGGGCTTCTTTTACAATTCCAGGACCATCACCTTCCATTTTAGATTGAATTGGGTATGTCTAGTTTAATGAAAACAAGGACTAGAAGTGACATGATATCAGTGTTCCAATATCTCAGGGGTTGCCACAAAGAAGAAAGAGTCAAGCTGTTCTCCAAAGCACCTGAAGGCAGAACAAGAAGCAATGGGTGGAAACTGATCAAGGAGAGAAGCAACCTAGAAATAAGGAAAGATTTCCTGACAGAACAATTAATCAGTGGAACGACTTGCCTCCAGAAGTTGAGATTGTTCCAACACTGGAAGTTTTTAAGAAGAGATTGGACAATCATTTGTCTGAAATGGTATAGGGTTTCCTGTCTAACCTCTTCTTAAAAACTTCCAGTGTTGGATTAGAAGACCTCCAAGGTCCCTTCCAACGCTGTTATTCTGTATTCTGTAGATTCTTAAGATAGTTTAGGACAACATACTATATAGGGATGTCTGTAAAACATAAAAAAAAAGTTCCTCCTGTTTTTCTCAAGGATAAATCTAGAATCTATAATTATCCAGTTGCTTATTTCAGGGCAGAAACATAGATATTATGATTTGTAACTCTTTACAAATCAGACCCTAGTCCCGCAATGGAGGGAATGACCTGAAAAGATGATGGAATTGACAGAGATGGTGAACCTGATTAATTAGGGACAAGAATGCGAATAGCTTTGTGGTTAAATAGCTTCTGGACTTTCTGAATGAAATTTAAAAAAACTAAAATTTTGATTGGATTTTGACAATTAAGTAGCTTACCGTTATAGAAATGGCTGGTGGTTATTATTTGGCCTCACTAAAAAGTTGATACTATAACTTTACTGTGTACTTACTGGATCAAAAAAAGTCAGAAATCACTGTTTTTTATCTCTTTTTTCTTTTTCTCCCTTCCTCACTTATTCCCCCATTCCCTTTCTTTTACCATTTTACCACTGTCTTTATTTCTATTTCTATTTTATATTGAGAAAGACATTTAACTGGGAGAAACAGTACCTCACATGGCAAGAATTCCTGAACCAAGGTACCTTTAATGGGCTAAATTACAGAATGTGTCCAAAATCCAGGATCCCTAACTCCCATAGGAATAAAATTTGGATAGGTTGTGGCTGCTTCAGTACTACTGGTTGCTGCTATGTGGCTGGGCTGTTGCTGCAGTCACATATTTATTTTAAACATTTTGTGACAATTTCCCAGTCAATCGTGCAATCCCTCAGTCCCTTTCCCATCCAGCAGCAGCCATTGACATGTCTGTTGAGAAGGAATGGGGTGAGGAGGGGAGAATTCCATTTTTGTGTGTGTGATTTTTTAAATCTGAAATGTGATTATTTATTTTCTTTCTCCTATGGAGGATACTTCTTTCTTTGCAGGTCCACTTTCAATAGTACAAAAATGCACAGTCAGAATGCAATAGCACTAAGACTTATATACAGCTTCACAGTGCTTTGCAGCCCTCTCGAAGCAGTTTACAGAGTCAACATATTGCCCCCAACAAATTGGGTCCTCATTTTACCCACTTCGGAAGGATGGAAGGCTGAGTCAACCTTGAACCTGGTGAGATTTGAACTGCCAAATTGCAGGCAACCAGCACTCAGCAGAAGTAGCTTGCAGTACTGCACTCTAACCACTGCGCCACCGTGGCTCATACTGTACCAACAAGGCATAACCTAGATGAGCTTTCCCAATCCGGTGCCCTTTGGGGGCATAGGATTCCTGCCCCTCTAAGTTCTAGACAATGTGATAAACAATGGAAATCTTGAAAATGGAAGTCCAGCATATCAGGAAGGTTCAGACTGGTAAAAGATAGCTCTGAATCTTTTCAGTTACCTGTTCAGCCAAGAGTGAAGCAAGACTAGAATAGGCATCGGAAAAATCTGGTCCATACTGAATGGAATTTCTCAGGAGGAGAACTGCTTCCTCTTTCTTCCCTTGATTCCTGAAAGTCAAATAACAGGGAGTGGATAGCAAAGACAGCACTTTTAATAATTTACTCAGCTTGCCTATTGATTAAATCACACAGTTAACATACTCAAAACAACCTCTTCAGAAAAGGCTAAATAATTAACTTCTTCTATTGAGTGTCTATTGGGACAGTATTAGATTCCACATCCTGGCTGCGTGAATGGGTGAGAGGTGCTTGGATACGTGAATGTTTTATGCCCTGGCACCTGTTGGCAAATGCTTCTGTTCCCTTCTGTTGGATCGCCTATGACAGTGTTGGTGAACCTTTTCGGCACAGATTGCTGAGCGTGCACACGCGTGCCGAAAACCAGAAGAGCAGTTGCCTGGCGTGCTTGTGCATGCTGGGAAAATGGCCACCTGATCTTCCGGTTTCTGGCACGCATGCATGCGTGAAGAACAGCTGGCCGGTGCGCATGTGCATGCCGGAAACTGGAAGATCATCTTCCCGGCGCCTATATGCACATCGGGCGACTGCTCTTCTGTTTCCAGTGCTCCCGCACACGTGAAGACCAGCTGGCCGGCATGCTGGAGAGCAACAGGCAATGACTCGCATGCCCAGAAAGATGGCTCTGCATGCCACTTCTGTCATGTGTGCCATAGGTTCGCCATCATGGGCCTATGAAATATTCACAAAATCCCCTTTCCTGCTTTTCAACTCTTGTTTTCCTTTTTTTTTAAACCAGACAACAAAAACTAGATTCAGAGAATTCCTCTAGAAGACTAGAGGAATTTGGAGTGGGAGGGAGGGGGAAAAAGAGAAGAGAAAGAGAGAAAGAGAGAAAAGGAAGAGAGAGAGAGAGAGAGAGGGAGGGAGAGAGACTTTGCTTGAGAGATTCAGTAGTTTATCTAAATCTTTTGTTCTCAAGCAATCTGTCTGGTGCTCCAAGAACAAAGAAAAAGTCATTCTCCTAACCTTCAAAAATGCTACAGACAGCATTATTCAACAATGCTGGAATAGAATACAAATCATGCAAAAATATCTTTCATTGGTGATAATGTGTCATCGAGTCAATGTTGATTCTTAGCTCAATGGAGCATGAGCCCCAGCAATGTGGACTTAAGTCAACATGGAGAGATTTTCTCCAGGCAGAACGGTTCCCAACGTGTCTTTTAGTTTTCAACAGGGTATCCACTGCTGCTATAACTGAGTCCATTCACCACACCGAAATTCTAAAGCATCAATACTGTAATCTTTGTATCCTACTTTCGCAAAGTCCAACTTTTTATTTCCAGAGAGCGTCACAAAAAAAAAAACCATGCCACAACGCCTGAATATTTTTTCCCAAAGGTTTACTGCTATTCTACCTAGAGCTTCTCTGCTGTTTCTTTTCTCACGGCTTCAGGGCTGACCCAGCCTGGAGTGAAGGGGCCAGAGAGGAGTGTAGAGATTAGCTGGGATATTGTAGTCTAAATAAAATTCTTTCCCCTGGGAATCAAGGGCATTTGTTCCGGTGTCCACAGGACAGTGACTGGAGACTGAGGTCATCTACCCTGTTTTCCCCAAAATAAGACCTCCCTGGATAATAAGCCCAATCGGGCTTTTGAGCTCATGCACTAAAATAAGCCCTCCCCTGAAAATAAGCCCTCCCTGAAAATTTTGCAACACAGCAGCAGCCATGAGGTGACCATGCTCACCACCTCCTGCACTTCAAAAAATAGTAAGACCTCCCAGAAAATAAGGCCAAGTGCTTAATTTGGGGGTCAAAAGAAAATAAGACCCTGTCTTATTTTTGGGAAAACACAGTAGCAACTGGACTGTATGCTGATTGAATCATGTGACTGAGACTCTGGGGGGGAAGTGATGAAGTTTTACTTTTAATCCGGGGAGGGAAACTGGCGCCAACTTAGAGCCGGTTTTCCACCAGGAATTTGAAATATCCTAATAAAATGTTCTTTAAGGAACTTATTGAATGGGATGTATTACTTGGAACCTTGACAGTGTGATGGGCACAGTAATTTGACAAATACATGGAATTAAAATAAAATAAATTCTTTCCACGAATGGATGCTAACTCTGTAACAACAAGGCACTGGAAACTAATAAAATAAGTTTTTCACGGGTAATGACAAGCGAACCTCTGGGACCCTGGTAGAACAGGATAACTGAAAGCAAAAAGTCATGAGCATTTCGCTGATCAATACCATTTTGAAATAATTTCACTATTTCTTATTTCATATGTTAACAACAGCCAGATGATGGACTTCACTTTTTACTTACAACTTTCTGTTTCAGAAATATACAATAAAGCACCTACTGTATATACTCGAGTATA